GGGTTTAATATTTTTCCTAGAACTTTTTTTTTTTTTTTTTTTTTTTTTTTTTTTTTTTTTTTTTTTTTTTTTTAAAAAAAAAAAAAAAAAAAAAAAAAAAAGAAGAGTGAGAGCAACAGATACATTTGACAGAAAAATCACAATCAGAAGCAGGTTATAGGGAAATGCCTGCAGTGAAATTGCAGCTTCGGGCTAAAGAGGCACCTGCTGTGCTCACTGTTAATTAATTGCCACAGCGTCAGATGCCACCAGAAATGCTTCACCGTGGCTACGCAACATATCGTAATGTTATGGATGTGCCTTGACTGTGAAAAAGTTTCACTCTGTGCATCCCCCCAAGCAGCTTGCTGGGGAATAAAACCCCACAAGCTGTCTGGCAGGATAAATGCTCCCAGTTAGCCTGGATTCCACAGCCTGGGATGGGAGTGGGGCAGGTAGGAGTTCAACAGCCTGTGCCAGGGAGGCTTCAAACCTTTCTCATCTTAAATTGTTAGTCTCGACCCAGGCATAGGTGGAGCTGCTCGTGGCAGATGATCTCTGTTGCTCCATACAGTTCTGATAATTTTTGATAATTGCATCCCTTCTTTACAAGATGCATCACACGATTCAGTAAATGATGGCAGAGCCGGGCCATCTGGGACCTGAGGCACCATCTCCTCCCTGCTCTGGGCAAGGCTGTGGATGAGAAACAAGAGTCCCCAGACCGGGTACTCGGATCCAGACCGGCTGTACCCACTTCCCTGCAGGCACATGGGGGTTCCCCTTCCCAGCCAGCTGCTCCTCCCTTCTCGCTGCCCCGCAGCCTGTCTTCAGTGGGGGGCTCAGCCCACCCTTCTGCTGAGCAAAGCCTCAGAGCTGTCAGGTTCTACCTCCTCTGCCTTCCCCCTGTCCCACCGAGTCACTTGTCACCTGTGAGCTGCAGGGATCCCATTGCTCCCTGCCTCCATCCTTGCTTATCCCAGTCCTCATGTCCCCTCTGTCTCTGCCCAGAGGGGACCAGCTCTTTGCAAGGGGTGGAAAGACGGGGCCAGTGCTGCCAAAGGGTCCCAGTGTAACATCAGGAGCGGCATCAGGCCTGTAATACCTTTGTCTTCCTTCTCTCAGCCCCAAAGGTTTTTCATAACTTCCATGTTGCTCAGCTCTCTTACAAGCCACTGCTTTTATCCCTTAATTTCAGCCATGAGTCTCCGGTCCCCATTTGTAAAATACTCTCAGGAAGATATCTGCCATGAGAGCAGCTCCCGCCCTGAAGCCTCACTGCGCGCCAGGGATGCAGACAGCCCCGACTCCGTGGCATTTCAGCATCAGATTTATTATTAATTATCGGTGTCATTATTACACAGCACCTACAAGCCCTGGCCGTCTAGCAAAGCCCCGCACAGAATATTAAAATGCTAATTTCCCTCTGAGATGAGAACTTGCTGGTGTCTCTCTGCTCATTTGTTTGCAAATGTCGTTTTCCTGTCGAGGCTGTATTCCCAGCAGGCGCGGCAAGGAAATGCTTGCATAAACAGCCCCTGTTTAAGAAACCATGTATCTCATACATTCGTGCATTATAGCCCTAATCGGGATTATTGTGACACTATAAGAAAACCATTTTGTTTTGTCTGATGCGTTTTTAAGATCTTATTGTGCCTTCAGAACACCTCGATGCAGCGACAGCTTTAGGATATATGGTGGAGGACATAATTTTCTTCTGCAAAGCATGACTTAGCTGGCTGTAATAAGTTATATTAAGGCGCAGCTCATTTTTGTGCCCCTGTGTAAGTCTCCAAATGGCGCTGGTGTGTGACTGCTGCAGCTGTCCCAGGTTTTGCCCTGGTATCGGGTTCTCACTTGGAGACCAGGCGGCAGCGCAGCTCCTGGCAGCGGTGGCTGTCCTGGGCTGGGATCCAGCAAATGCCAGTCGATGGGAGCCCCCACACCACCACCAAAGGCCTCAGGGGCTGTTCTCCCAGGAAGAGACACCCTCTCTATTGGCACAGGACAGGAACTCCTCTATTTTTAATGACATGGGTTAATAGGGTATGATTCTTAATGCTAATGATAGGTAGGTGGAGCGGGGGCTGAGGGAGAGCAGAGTAAAAGGCTGCAAGTCTGCAAGTGAAGCAAAAAAGTGCTGTTACTGCCTTCCCTCCCTCTACCCCCCCAGTTTCCTTGGAGAGCTGCACGTGAGCTCTCAGCTCTCTGAGCATCATCTTCCCTTCTGGCTGCTGAACTATCTCCTGAAAATGCTTAAATTCTCTTCTCCTCAGCTGCGTGATTTCCAGCAGCTGATGGCGCATGGGAATTGTTTCAGGCTATAGCTGAAGGTAACTAAACCAGCACTCAGTTATATGGCAGAGGGAGCAAAAGAATTTGGCACCAACAAATGCAAATACAGCGTTTCAGCTTAAAACAAACAAGCAAATGAAACCAGGATCTCTCGCCGCAGGTATTTTCTGTAAGAGCCTGCCATTATTATCCCCCTGCCATTGAGCAAGACTGGCAGTGTTATCTCAAGTTGCAAAATACCCCTAACGTTTAGAACTATTTAAACAGCTCCAAATCACGGGGGATACAGAAACACAGCCAGAAAATAGCTTGGAGAGAAAGACGGACAGTTTTTACAGCTTTTCAGCAAATGACGCATACATACATAGTACAGGCCACCTCATTAAATGGGGTCTTCCCTCTTTTTACAGTCGTGGGACCCATCGCACTTACAAATACCTGCCTTACATTAAGGGCACCTGTCTGCCTCCAGGTGCTGCTACGAAGCAATCACAGTGGGGTTTGCTGCTGCCAGAGGGGAACTCTACGTGACCAGCAATAATCCCCTCCCCAGGTCAGGGATGCAATCATGTTTGCAAGTGTTTAAAAGTATATTACAAAAGAGGCATAGCTAGCACACCTGAGAGAGACAAGACAGTGAAATAGACTGGGACAATTTGTAGATAAAAAAAAACAAAGTTAAGATGTGGCAAAAAGCATTGCAATTACTGCCTCCTGTAACTCTCGGGGCTGAAGAAGTCACCAGTGCAGCAACCAGAGCTGATACTTGAGGATGCCTGTCTCCTGGTACCAGAACTACTCCCTGATTCATTTCTGACCTGCTCACACATAGCTTTAACTCAGAGATGGTTCAAAATTTACAGAAGGGCCAGAGCAGACACGCTGCCTGGTTTTGCATGGACGGATGCGCTGGAATGTCACAAACTTCCAGGAGAACTCACCAAAATCTCTGTCTCACACAACTGCCACCGCTCACAACCAGGGTCTGGCACTACTCCAGACTGCCCAGCCCCAAAACTCAGCCTAATTTAGTCTTAGTGGGAGAAAAAAGGAAAGGAACAAGAAATTAAAATCAGAACCATGGCCATAGTGGGCAGTGTTGAGCAGTTTATTCCAGCCCGGCTTTTCACAGAGAGGGAAGAAATTTTGAGCAGAGAGAAGCAAGACTGAGCCAACAGCACGACCAGCAGTGCTTTCTAGGGCAAGGGCTGGTTCTTGCTCTCCTGCTGAAGCCCTCTCCCCTGTGCTGCTGGGGACTGCCCAGTGTCCTCACTGCCAGCGGGATGCTCCGACGAGCCTCCGCAGCAGAGGAGGGAAGCACGGAGCATCCCAGCTCAGCTACACCACTCCTGCGGCATGTGGGCAAACCTGCCCACATCTGCCTGTTGATGGTGCTGGCTGAGCTCTTGGGGTGCCTTTGCTCTACACATTAATTTAGTCTCCAGCGTTATCTGACAACTCAGACATGAAAAAGCCAAAATAGGCAAGCAGTAATCTGGAAAACAGGTTCCCTGTGCAAGCAGCAAGACTGAGGCAAAACAGTGCTTATCTTGCTGGCAGAAATAGGGGGAGGGAGGCACTTGCTGTAAATCACAGCATTGTTCCTCCTGCACTGGGAACACGTACAGATCCTCTTTGCCTGGTTGCCTGGGCCCCGGACCACAAGAGCACTCTGGTGTGTAAACAGACTCAGGCTCTGCCATCCAGAGGAGCAAAACTCCCAGCTGGCTGGTATGAGCTCACTGACGCCTGCCCCATCGCACCGCCGAAGCTCCTAGATGCCTGCTCCCCCCTTGCCCAGACAGACCTGCCCCAGACAGGCAGCTCAGCAGCACCTTCCCAGCCTGTGGTCCCAGGCGAGGGGTTCATCCCAGGGACTGCTTCCCTTCATGGTCTTGCCCTGTTGGCCCCACAGCCAAAGCTCTGCTATGGGATCATCCTCATTTCATCCTCCTCCAGCCCCAGAGGAAAGGCACTGATGACGCCTGCTTTGGCAAGGTAACCTTGGGTCCAGCACAGCTCAGGGCTACAAAACTCT